AGTGCCCATCCCAGCATAATCTGTTCTACACAGTGCATTCTCTGCAATATCTCATACTCCAAACCTCAGTTGCTTGTCTTAACACAGGATATGCAAGATAAAATGGGTATATGCCCTTCCGTGGGTTTCTTTGTATGTTCTAAAATGAAATGAGGGGATTTCCCTGGTGGCGCAGTGGTTAAGAATCCGCCTGCCAATGCAGGGGACATGGGTTCGAGCCCTGGTCTGGGAAGGGCTTAGTTGCTGTGGACCAACTAAGCCCGTGTGCCACAACTACTGAGCCTGTGCTCTAGAGCTCACGTGCCACAACTACTGAAGCCCATGTGCCTAGAGCCCATGCTCCACAACAAGAGAAGCCACTGCAATGAGAAGCCCGTGCACCATAATGAAGAGTAGCCCCCGCTCGCCGCAACTAGAGAAAGCCCACGTGCAGCAACGAAGACTCAACGCAGCCAAAAATAAATAAATTTATTAAAATAAAATAAAACGAGGAAGAAAAACAACATGAAAATTTTTTTAAAAGAAAAAAGTTCTAAATATTAGATGTAGAACGTCCTGCATTTCAATAGGACATCTTGTGTGTTCCACTTTGGAGACTGTTAATTGCTCTGTCACATACCATAGTGTACCACAAACTTGGCTAATGATCGAAACACCTGAGAGGTGCCTATTAAATATACAGATTCTGCTTTTGCATATATTGCCCATGTGATCAGGAAAAAAGAGCATACTCTCTCCAGCTTGCCAGCAGCCCTTGACCCTCCCTATTGTGTTCTACCCAGTCCACTACATTTTTACCTTATCTACCAAACTCATGTAGACATTTGAGTTTTTGATCTCTGCTTTAGGGAAAAAATAGAGGGAATTCTGACTTTTCTGAAAAATTGAGATAAATTTTACAGACAGAAAAATTCACTGATCTTAAGTGTATAATTAGATGAGCTGGGGCAAATATGTACATTCACAGGACCAGCACCCCAATCAAAATATAGAACAATTCTGGAGCAGTTCTCCTGAGTTCCCTTATCCTGTTGCTCTCCACCTGGGTGCCTCTTCCCAGTAAAGTCTTTTGCTTTGTCAGCAAAAAAAAAAAAAAAAAAAAAAAAAATATATATACATACATACACACACACATATATATATATAAAACAATTCCATCATTCCAGAAAGTTCCCATCTAGTCAATCCCCATCCCCCACAGGCAACCACTTTTTTGATTACTATCATAGATATGTCTGGGGACACTGACTTTTATTACTTCATTGTTTAGCCCAGATCATCACCAGCACTTGGCTTTATGACCTACCTAGCTTTAGAACAAGTTAGCCTCACAGTGAGATAGTCTGGCAATTTAAATTAGCTGTGTGAGATAATCTGGCAATTTAAATTAGCTGTTTCCTGATGTTCCCTGAGGTTACAGCAGGGAACTAAAGCCAAACTTCTTGAGCTATAATATGTGAGGATTTCATCAATCACTGATTAAAATCAAGCTGTTCAAGAAAAGGGTTAAGAGAGACAGAGTGGAGAAGTCAGAGGCATCTTTCAGCAAGGATTGGTCTTTCTATTGTCTGATCCACACTGAATTCATCCCTGCAGCAAATGTTAAGCACACCTGCCAGAAGAAACAAGTTACTCTCTGAGAATCTAAAATTGTTAAGATGGATAAACTTTTAGATCCTTTCCTTAGCTGTATCAATTAGATCCCACTGATTTGATATTAAAATCTGCATACTGAGATGACTATCCCAGGGAGTGTTAATAAAGTAGGTTTCAATGATATCATTGGCTCAGTGTCTTGTCTCTAAAACAATAGTTTCCCTGCAACAAGAGCAGGGAACAGCAGCGGCACTTGCACAAATGCACAGGCACTCCCAATGGTTCTCTCCTACTGGTTTCCTTATTCATAACAGTTTTAGACATTTGTTAGTACACAGTATTTTGAAAGTAAAACATGTTTTCTTGTTCCATCTCCAGTTTCATAGTTCAGTTTCATGGTATTATGCAGATGGATTTCCAAATTTGAGAAAATGTTTTTGTTTCACTATCCAGGGACTATTGACAGACAGCTCTAACATAACCCTCCTGTGTGGGGAACATTAATCAGGGCAGCATTGGACATGGGCCCTTCCCTGCCCCCTTAGCTTTCAGCAGGCAAAAATATCCTACAGGGCATAGTCCTTTCTCCTGTGGAGTGGCATGGAGAAGGCATGTGGCCCCAAATATGACTCTGCCAGCATCACTGACCCTCTAAAGGGAGGGCAGAGGGGGTGCCAGTGTGGTGTGACAAGGTAGAGGTAGCGACAGCACTTGGCTTCCCTGCTAAGAGCCTTTAGAGAACAAATTTCTCTCTTCCTTTCCTCTGAACGAGGCCAAGTCACAGAAGTAGCAGCTGCTGTATTCTCCAACCAGAAAAGAGAAGGTGCAGTGCATTGCTGGGCATGGACCACTCATTAATTCTTTCATTCATCTGCTCATTTGCCTAGTATTTATTAAATTCTGATAGTGTGATAGATCTATATAGTTAAAAAGATGAATAAGACAGTCTCCAAGAAGCTCACAGCTAGTGGGGAAGAGATGTGAAAATAGTTATAATACAATAAAAGAAATAATGCAGTGAAATAAAAGCTATGACAGAAATATCTGCCAGGTGCTGCCAAGGCATAAAAGAGGAAATAACTGACTTCTCAGTAGCTTCCTTGGAGTCTAGAAGATGGAAAATTGAACTTTTAATTTATATTCAGCTCCACGGAGTCCTTGAAGATTAATACCTACTTACATTTTTTGTTATATTTCAAGACAAAGTTAATTTGAAGGGGCATTAGTTTTGTAAACTATTTTCTATACAAATGTTAGTGCAATAACAATAATAATAACTATGACCATTTATTGGGTGCTCACTATGTGCCAGGTACTGTTAAGCACTTTACATACATCATCTCATTTAATCCTCACCACAATCCTATGAGGTACGTATTATTATCTCTATTTTAATTTTAATTTTAATTTTTTAATTTTTTGGCCACACCACGTGGCTTGTGGGATCTTAGTTCCCTGACCAGGGATTGAACACATACCCGCTTCAGTGGAAGCATGAAGTCCTAACCACTGGACTGCCAGGGAATTCCCTATCATCTCTATTTTATATATGATAAAATTGAGTCTTGGAAAAGAAAAGTAACTTTGGTTTATGACTTTGTTTTTGTTTCCCATCTCCTGGTACCAATTATATGGTAAAACCTGGTATGTAGTTTCTTAAACATCACTGTCCCGCTGCACAAAACTTCGTTTTTAAATAGTGAAATAAAAGCTTGAAGTGCCTTTTTGTGAGATTTGGGACCTCTTGCTACATAGGTTGTTGAATCACAAACTTTGGAGGTGGAAGGGGAGTCTTAGGAACTCATATTTTATGGTGGAAGAACTGATGCCCAGAGGAGTTAAACATCTTAACCAAAGTTACTCATTGTTCTGGTGGGAGACACAGCTTCTCTCTTCTTTTTTAATAAATTTATTTATTAGTTTGTTTTTATTTTTGGCTGTATTGGGTCTTTGTTGCTGCTTATGGGCTTTCTCTAGTTGAGGCAAGCGGGGGCTACTCTTCGTTGCGGTACGTGGGCTTCTCATTGTCTTGGCTTCTCTTGCTGCAGAGCACAGGCTCTAGAGCACAGGCTCAGCTGCTCCGTGGCATGTGGGATCTTCCCGGGCCAGGGCTCGAACCCGTGTCCCCTGCATTGGCAGGCAGATTCTTAACCACTGCACCACCAGGGAAGCCCAAGGCTTCTCTCTTCTAGCCCACTGTTCTTGCCCCAGGGCCAAAGACTCAAGAATGTGCAGACTTCAGGTTTTCATACAATCGTCTTTACTAGACATTGTTAAGCATTTTAGCCAACAACAAAACATTCAAGATGAAACAAAAAAAAAATTTCTTTTTTCACTTGGAGACATCGTTTCTAGGTGATCATCAGCATTTCATAGCCATTTATTTGACAAAGAATTTGATGCAATGAATGCCATGTACTGTCAAGGTAAGCAAGACACAGCACAACCCAGCAGTTGTTCACAACTTAGGGAAGGGGCAGACATGCAATCAAACAATTAAAATAATTATGTACAAGCATGTACAAAGGTTTAGGGTGCTATAGAAATGTGTAAAGTGATGATTCTCAGCTTGGGGTGGATCCCACTCCCATATACCCAACAGACACTTGGCAATGTTTGGAGACAGTTTTGGTTCTCACAACTTGGTGTGGGGGGGGCAGTGGTGGTGATACTGGTGATCAGAGGCCAGAAATGCTGCTAAACCTCCTAAAGCTCAGAGGTCAGCGCCCCAGCAACAAAGACTTAGGCAGCCAAAAATGTCAATAGGGCTGAGGTTGAGAAACTGTGGTAGACAGACAGCAAAATATTTTCTACAAGGGATGGGTGAGGGGGTTATATCTTGGAGGACTGGTTGTGGAAGAGTTTACTGAAGAGATAATGATTTGGGTTAGGGAGGGAAGATCCCCAGAATAAGGAACAACATGTACAAAGCCACAGAAGCATAGCATATTTGGGCAATCCCACACACTGGTGGAAGAGTTGTAGGCATTAAGGCTGGACAGCTAGGCAGGAGCTAGACATTCAAGAAAATATATTGAGTTAAAGGAATTATTGTAAGAAAAACTGGTTCCATGATGGCTCTTTATAAGTCACTCAGGAGCACAGTCTAGGTATGTACTGCTATGAGCTAAAACTGCTAAAGAAAGCTGTTTGAAATGAAGCTTTTCTCTTCTTGCTTCCTTATGGTCTGAAGTTTTCCAGGCATTTGTTATTTTCTCAGAGACAGAGTCCAAGCTGTTTCAATGGAATGTGAGCTCTGAGAGGTGGAATAACTATTAAAGCCACTTAGCTGGTGTCTCAGTGCTGTGATGAAATTGTGAGCAGGGATAAGGTGGTTATTTCTCATGTGTTAGACTTCTAGGCAGATGATAATGATTATTTCCTCTTTCGTAGAGTGCCCTAGGCCAGAAATGGGGATATGTGACCCTTAAGATTAGACTGCCACCTTGGATCTAAATGAGTTGCCTTCCCCTCCCTCACAAAAAATGGTGGGCAGGTAGGCCATTCCAGTCAGGGTTTCTCTTTCTCTTAAGCTAATGATGATCAAAGCAACTGACAAACTGTCACGGAATCTGCCAGACCTCACTCTGGCCTTCCCTGCCTCCCAGCTCCTGAACTATCCCTCTCATCATGCTCTGGGCCCATTCTTAGCAAACTAACAGGTCACAGACTTCTGGTCTGCAAACATCCTAGGCCTATTGAGCTCTGGTCCAAGTGCCTGCCTCTGTCCCCTGGTGGCCTGATGATAGAGCTTCATGGAGGTGAGTTACCTTTTCCTAACTTAGCTGATTTCTGGAGCATAATGTGGAAAACTGGATCAAAGAAGAGGATATGGATTTTACAGCATGAAAGAAAATTCAGGGAGATAGTTAACTTGTGGCAGCTTATAGCTTCTATACTCTCTCTAGGTCTTGGAATAATTGAGAATTTAGAGAAGAGAGTTTGGTAGAAAAGTGATGAAACCTGCCAAAAACTTGTGAGAAAAATTAAAATAAATATTATACAAAAATGTACTTTCCTTATTAATGTAATCACTTTATTATTTTAGATTGAAAAAATTTATGATGTATAACTTGATTTGCTCATTATACTATCACACTTGGTGTTTTATACTTAAAGTGGAGTTGATTAAACATTTTAAATTGAATTCCTTCAAGATCTCTTCGGAGCTAAAAATAAATTCAATTATATTCTGAATTTAGTGTTTTCTTGATTGTTGTACAGATAAAAGAAAATATTTACTACAAGAAAGGTGAAAAACCTCAGTAAAATCCATCAACAAGAGATTGTGCCACTGAGCCCTTAGGTTCTGAGTTGTCATTTCCACCAGTTACTTTTTTGCGGTACGCGGGCCTCTCACTGTTGTGGTCTTTCCCGTTGCGGAGCACAGGTTCTGGATGCGCAGGCGCAGGAGCCATGGCTCACATGCTCAATTGCTCTGCGGCATATGGGATCTTCGCAGACCGAGGCACGAACCCGTGTCCCCTGCATCGGCAGGCTGATTCGCAACCAGTGCGCCATCAGGGAAACCCCATTTATCTCTTTTGAAAAAAAAGGTTTTAGGGCTTCCCTGGTGGCACAGTGGTTGCGAGTCGGACTCACAACCACTATGCCACCAGGGAAGCCCAACTTATCTACTTAAAAAAGTTTTTTTTAGGGTTTCCCTGGTGGCGCAGTGGTTGCGACTCCAACTCGCAACCACTGCACCACCAGGGAAGCCCCACTTATCTACTTAAAAAAAAAGATTTTAGGGCTTACCTGGTGACGCAATGGTTGCGAGTCTGCCTGCCGATGCAGGGGACACGGGTTCGTGCCCCGGTCCGGGAAGATCCCACATGCCGCGGAGCAGCTGCGCCCGTGAGCCATGGCCGCTGAGCCTGTGCTTCTGGAGCCTGTGCTCCGCAACGGGAGAGGCCATAAGAGGCCCGCGTACAGCAAAAAAAAAAATTTTTTTTAGTTTTGTTGGCATAATGTTGTGTTAGTTTCAGGTGTACAGCAAAGTGATTCAGTTATACATAAACATACGTTCATTCTTTTTTGGATTCTTTTCTCTTATACTTAATCACAGAATATTGAGTAGAGTTCCCTGTGCTATACAGCATGTCCTTGTTGCTTATCAATCTTATACATAGTAGTGTGTGTACGTTCATCCCAAGCTCCTGATTTATCCCTCCCCCCCAATTTCCCCTTTGGGAACCAAAAGTTTGTTTTCACTATCTGTAAGACTGTTTCTGTTTTGTAAATAAGTTCATTTGTATCATTTTTTAAAAAAATTGGATTCCACATATGAGTGATATCATATATTTGTGTTTGTCTGATTTACTTCACTTAGTATGATAATCTCTAGGTCCATCCATGTTGCTGCAAATGGTATTATTTCATTCTTTTTTATGGCTGAGTAATATTCCATTGTATATATGTACCACATCTTCTTTATCCAGTCCTCTGTTGATGGACATTTAGGTTGCTTCCATGTCTTGGCTATTGTAAATAGTGCTGCAATGAACACTGGGGTGCATGTATCTTTTTGGATTATGGTTTTCTCCAGATATAAACCCAGGAGTGGGGTTGCTGGATCATATGGTAGTTCTATTTTTAGTTTTTTAAGGAACCTCCATTCTGTTCTCCATAGTGGTTATACCAATTTATATTCCCACCAACAGTGTAGGAGGGTTCCCTTTTCTCCACACCCTCTCCAGCATTTATTGTTTGAGTTTTTAAAACACATGAAATAAAATTCCTAAATGGCATCCACTTCCAAAAGATACTGCATTCACAAGGATTAAAAACCGGCTCTAGTAGGCAAGACTTTCTCTTAAATCACCTTCAATTGGCCAGGTTCTTCTACAAGTTTTATCTTATACAGAATGTATCTAATTTTAAAGTTTTCAAGATAGTCTGAGTGGCTTAAAATGCAATGTTTTTTGTCCTTTCATATTCCCTGATGGGCATAATTTTCTGAGTTTGATCTTCTGAGCACATATTGAGAGAGGGTGGAGAATAAACATATTTTTTCCTCTTCACTTCCACAGAATTTCCCATTCAGCCTAGTACAAAAAAAAAGGAATAATCTTTTAGAAAATCATTTGTTATCTTTGGTTAATGGAATTAAATGAATCATTAATATGTAAAGGGATGGTAAATTTAAAATTCTCACTATACAACAGAACCATAGGAAATAAGACTAGAAATATGAGTTTGCAACATGTTGTAGAGAATTCTGAACTCCGGGGCCCTTTAAAAAAACTTATTTTGGTAGGTTATGGAGAGCCACAGAAGATTTTTGAGGCAGAGGGGGGTTAGCAATTATTATTTCTATTAGCATTATTAACTAGACTCTGCAACTGATTAGACGATGGAGAATGAAGAAGAAAACAGCCAAAGATAATTCAGATTTCACAACTGAGATACTGGTAGTGCAATAGAAATAGGCAAGTCAAGAGAAGGAACTGATTTACAAAGAAAGACACATTCTGTTTAAGTCGTGTTGAGTTTCAAGGACCCAGTTGTGGGCTCGGAGATGTGGGCTCCCAGAGATTCAGATTTGGGAGTCACCTCTATAGCAGCTATACATGAAGTTATGGGCATGAATAGTTCACTTGGTAAGAAGAGAGTATAGAACTAGAAGAGC